GTCAAAATTACCCAAGTAAATTCCTTTTAAATTTCTGATCCACAGTAACTTTGAAATAATGAATACTTAATATTTGATGCTGTACAGTTTTGGTGGCAATTTGTTTTGAAGTAATAGGTAAGTAATAAAAGGTCTGAAAAGTGAAAAAGTGAACTAGAAACAGCCACAGTTATCACTGGGTATTTCAACATTTATCCTTAACAGCAAATGGATAGATATAAAGAACATTATCCACCAGTTTGACTGACTTAATTAACCTTTATAGAACATGCCAACTAAGAATAGCAAAATACCATTGTCTCAAATAAATATGGACCATTCACAAATATAGATCGTATGCTAGGAAAACAAGTTTCTATAAGTTTAAAAGTATTAAAATCATATAGACTATGTTCTCTGACCATTGGGAATTAAATTAGAAATTAATAAAAATCTAAGGAAACCTCAAAAAATGGATATTGGAAATGCAATTTGAAAATAACAAATGAATCAAAGAAGAAAGCACAAAATAAATTTTTAAAAAAGATTTTTGAATTGAAAGAAAAACTAAAATTCCAAATTTGGGGGATGCATAAGACTCAGCTTAGAGGAAAATTAAGTGGCTTTGCTATTTATTTAAGAGAAAAAGAAACATTGATAATCAATGATTAAGTTTCTACCATATGAAACTAAAAAGTAGAAGGAAAGAAATTTTCAAAATTTAAGGAGAAATTGATGATAAAAATATACAAACAACAAAAGAAAAAAAAATCAACGAAGCCCAAAACTGATTCTTTGAAAAATATCAATAAAAATTATAAGCCTCTAGTCTGACTGATAGAACAAAAGAGGACACAAAAATTACCAATATCAAGGGAAAATCATCATTATGGATCCTACAGATATCAAACAGATAATAAATGAATATTATGAAAAAATTTTTGCCAAAATAAATTTGACAACTTAAACAAATATATTAATTCCTTAATACAAATCACCATAATTGGTATAAGAGAAATGAAAAATCTAAATCACTCTATATCTATTTAAAACATTGAATTTAAGAATTTTAATTTAAAAAATAAACTTTTAAATAAAGAACACTATAGGCCCATAAGTTTCTCTGGTGAGTTGTATCAGTCATTGATGGAAGAAATTATAAAACCCTACATGAACTATTGCAGAAATGACGCTACTTCAACTAATTGAGTAAGGCCAATATCACTCTGATACTAAATTCAGATGACAATTTACAAGAAAAGTTAGAATGTACTGATATCCTTCATGAATATAGGCATAAGATACTTCTTAAACCCATAGTTTAATTGAGGTATCACTGATATACAAATAACTCAACAAATTAAATATATACAACTTGATGAGTTTGTGTGTATTGAAACCATTGCCCAAATCAAGATAATAGACATATCCATCATCTCCACTCCAAAGGTTTCCTTGTGTCCCTTTGTGTGAGTGAGTGTGTGTGTGTGTGTGTGTGTGTGTGTGTATTAATAATAGTTAACATGAGTTCTAAAATTTGGTGCATACTACAGTATTATTGACTATCAAACACAATATACTTATCAAAACCCAAGTAAATCTATACCAAAAACATATAAGAGATAATAAACCATGATTAGTTAGAATTTAGGCCGGGGCTGAGAGTTTGACAAAATCAGTCAACACAGACTCACCATGTAAATCAAACAAAACTAATTGTGCTTTTTAAAAATAGATGCAGAAAAAACAATTTGCTAAAACTTAATACTCATGTCACAAACACTTTCAGCAAAACAAGAAATTCCCTTAATTTCATACTGAGCACCTACTGAAAATCCATAGCCACTATCATATTGGTGAATGTGCATGAATGGCTGCTTTTCTGCTCTGATCAGAAATAAGGCAAAAATGTCCACTCTCATCACTTTTCATCTTTTTACTATTCATCTTTTTACTCTCATCACTTTTTATCTTTTTTCAGTCATTGCCAGAGCCAAATGGCCCAAAAAGAAAGGAAAAGAAAAGAGTAAAAGTAAAAGGCAGATTGAAAAGGCAGAAGTAAAATTATTTGTATATAGCTTAATCCAGCACATAAAAAACCCTAAGGAGTTGTCATTTAAACTACTTTAAAGTGATTTTAGTAACTTTTTAATGATCCATTGTAAATAGCTTAAAATTACTATTACTGTTAGCATAAAAATTAAAATTTAAAAGACTAGGTATAATAGCATTGAAAAACATGAAATATTTAGATTATATTTTAGAAAATATGTTCAAGAATCAAACATATATTAGCTTCCACAAGTATGCACTGAACACTATAAAACACAGCTTAGAGTATTCAAGATGCAAATAGAATGGGACATGTAATATTTGCAAGTGGAAGTTTTAATATTGCTAAGATATTGATTCTTCCAAAATTAATCTATGGATTCAATCTAATTGCAATTAAACTCCTTTGACAATGACTTTTTTTTTCCCCCTTTCAAAAAATGGTAAAAGTTGACAAGCTGAGTTTTAAAATTTTGTGTATTTCAAAACTAAACATGACTTTCTGATATGAACCAGCAATTTTGTCCCTGGCTATTTACCCAAAAGAGTTGAAAATTTATATCCATGCAAATACCTGCTCAGAGATATTTCTAGCAGCTGTTTAAAAATTGCCCAAATCTAGAAGTAACCACTCGTCCTTCAGTAGTAAAGCGATAAATAAACTGGTACATCCAGAGACTGAAATATTATTCAGGACTATTATGCAGAAATGAGCTATCTGGCCACGAAAATATAAGGAGGAAACTAAACATAATATGAAATGAAGGAAGTTAATCTAAAAAAGGCTTAAATACTGTAAGATCCCAACTGTGTGAAGTTCTGAAAAAATCATAAATAAGAAAACAATAAAAAGATCGGAGGTTACCAAGGGTGGAGGTTGGTGTTTGTGGGTTGGAAGGACAGTTGAAATGGCAGAACACAGAGAAAACTTAGGGTGATGGATCTTCTTTGTAAAATACTATTTGTATAAAACCATAGAAGTCCAATGCCAAGTCAGAACACTAGTGTAAGCCACAGACTCTGGGTGATGATGACTTGTCCATGTAAGTTCATCACTGTAACAACTGCACCCCTCTGAGAGCAGGTTGACAGTGGGAGAGGCTGTATGTAGTGGGAGGGACTAGGGCTGTAAAGAAATCTCCTTATCTTATGCTCAGTTTTGCTGTGAATCTAAAACAGTGCTAAAACATAAAGGCCATTAAAAATTAATATTTCAGTTTCATCAATAAATTAAAGACACTTTCATTTAAAAATTACATGGACATACACAATAGTAAGAATTTTTTTTTTTTTTTTTTTTTTTTTTTTTTTGGTGTGTAGGGGGAGTACCAGGGATTGAACTCAGGGGCACTTGTCCATTGAGCCCCATCCCCTGCCCTATTTATTATTTTATTTAGAGACAGGTCTCACTGAGTTGCTTAGCCTCTCCCTTTTGCTGAGGCTGGTTTTGAACTCAGGATCCTCCTGCTTCAGCCTCCTGAGCTGCTGGGATCACAGGTGTGCACCATCAGGCCCAGCTAAGAATTTTCTTTTTTATATTTGAAAAATATGCAAAATGTATAAAGCAAGTACTTAAGATACCAATGATTCTTTTTTCTTTTCTTTTTTTTTGTTTATTCTTACTCATACATAACAGTAGAATTCATTTGGATAAAATTATATAAGATTGGAATATATCTAATTCTGATTAGGAACCCATTCTTGTGGGTAGACATGATGGTGGGATTCACTTAGGTATTTTCACATGTGTATATAGGAAAATTATGTTAGATTTATTCTACTGTCTTTCCTATTCCTATCCCCCTTTGTTCGGCTTTGTCAAATCTACTGAACTTCTTCCCCCCACCCCTTTATTGTGGTTTAGCATCCACATATCAGAGAGAACATTTTACCTTTGTTTTTTTTTTTGGGGGGGGGGAGGGGATTGGCTTATTTCACTTACCATGACAGTTTTCAGGTCTATCTATTTCCTGGCAAATGTCATAATGTCATTCTTCTTTATGGTTGATTAATATTTCATACTACATATTCTTTATCCATTTATCTGTTGATGGGCATCTAGGTTAGTCAATTGAACTTCACCAAAATTCTTAGGTAAGAGCTCTGTTTTTTTTTTTTTTTTTTTTCAATGCAGATATTCATTGAAATGGTATTTAATACCATTTCAGAAAAAGCACACAATCAGTAATCCCTATGCTCATGGTATTAGAGTGTCCAGGATAATATCTATACCCCATTGATTATATTGATGATGACCCTAAGAATAGAATTCCTAAAATAGGATTTACATTATCTAACTTTGAGATTTACTATAAAGCTAGGTAAGAAAGGCTGTGACAGTGGCACATAACTTTCTATCTATCTATCTATCCATCCATCCATCTATCAATGCAGGATCCAAAAATAGACCCATACATGGTCAATTGATTTTTGAAAAAGAAACAAAGGTAATCAGATAAGGAAATGATATCTTTCTCAACAAATAGTGTCAAAATTAATTATATATGCATGAAGAGAAAAAAAGAACTTACCTTAGACTTCACTTCAAAGCCAACATCAAAATACACTTGGAATTATAGATTTGACTGTAAAAGTCAAGAATATAAATATCTCTATGATGGATAATCCTGTTAGAAACTCTTTATTTAACTGAAAGAAAATTCATAGATAATATCATAACTTCAGTAGGATATCTTTAAAAATCAGTGCATCTTATCTATAAAAATAAAAATGTCATTTACATGAAAGATTTTAATATGAAAATGTTTAGATAAATATACCTTAGTTACGTAAGCAAAATTAAACAGAAGGAAACACCTATTCCCAGAGTCACTGTCAACATAATTGATGTGGCATTGATGTTGTGGGGACTCATATTGTGAGCAGGGTTGTTACCAGTGATGTGATTTTCTGAAGTGGTATACTGTTTCAATGGATATCTGCATAGTAAAATGAAAGCTCTTACCTAAGAACTTTTAGTAAACTACAGAATGACAAAATACAGTATTTCCTCAATTTATATTACAGATACATCTGGGAAAATAAAAATCACACATCGAAGATTTATATGAAACATTTGTTTTTCAAATATAACAAGTTTATTTTAAATCTGCATGAATATCCAGTGGCTTATTGAGAAGTCCAGGAGGGATAATTTACAGTGTAGGACTGTCTGTCCATTGAGAGACAACTAGTCTCCTGACTGTACCCCACATTAATGACTGTAGTGTCCACCCAATCCCTGAACAGAAAATGGACGTCTTGCAAGTTTCATTAAACCCTTTAAAGAACTGTTTCAAATTTTATGAGAACTACTGATCTAGGCCATAACAAGCAAATAATAATGATAATATATATTAAAATAAAAACTAGGAAGGGAAAAATGCACTTCAATTGAGTTAAAGGGAAGACATTAGGACTGAAAGAAGTGAAACTTTGGATCTGAAAGGAAATCATTGCAAAACTTTTATCCTTTAAATAAATGTCTCCTGGAATAAGGGGAAAGCTTTAATTCTAAGCATTATATTGATGAGAAACATTTCAGGAGATCCAGGGGCGTAATTTATTTTGCCAAACCTCTGTTGCCTTGACAACCTTATATACCATCCCCTGGCCTGAAGTTCAGGGTTCCCAGGGGCCACTTGAGGAACTCTGGAAACTTGGGAGGGTCTTGAATTACCTGGATTCACAACAGCTGCAGTTTTGCCAGGACGTTCTCAGGAGCCAGAGTTCCTAACTGTATGGATTTGCCACAAATAATGTTTTCCATGTGTAGGGATTTCACAGATCCCAAAGTACTTTGGTTGGTGTCAACAACTTTTGTAATTTTAAAGAAGTTTAGGTAATGGATCAGGCTAAGGAATGATCCCATCGCAGAGGAAGGCGCGCTGTGGGAAATTCGGCCTTTGCAGGAGGACCCTTTAAAGGCCTGAGCCTGGGTGTCTGTGGGGCCGAGCGCCTGCGAAGGGGGAGAGTGGGGGAGTGTCCTCTTTCTCCCCCCACCCTCGGGCGGCGGCTGAGCCAAAGCCAGGGAGGGCTGTCTCCTCCTCTTCCCTAGCAGCTGCTGCTCACTCAGCTCTCAAACCAGGACCAGGGGACCAGGCAGAGTGACTCTGAGAAGCTCCTGAGAAGTGGATTCGCTCCGGGCCACCACGATGCCGGGGGCCGCCGGGGTCCTCCTTTTCCTGCTGCTCACTGGGGGCCTCGGGGACAGCCAGGAGCAGCGATTCCCACAGCGTCGACAGCCACAGGCGCATCAGCAAAGAGGTACCGTTGAGGCAGGAGCTTTTTGATCCGCATCCTTTCCAGGGGCGCGGCTCCTTACTTGTCCTTTCTTCCCAGAGTTGCTGGCTGGGACCGCTTTCTCGCTTTGCCCTCAGGGAGTGCGCTTTCGGAAAAGAGGGAGGAAGAGTGAAGCAAGTTCACGTTCAACTCCCTGAGATTCGTGTAGAGGGAATTACCTCCAGGGACGTGGAGCGCTCTTCATTGTTCATTTGTTTCTAAGCGGTCATGCTATCTCTGTGCTTTCTGTAAACTGATTTATGAACTCTTTCCAAGAGGCAAACTTTTCCAATTGGGAAAAAAAAGAAAAGAAAAGAAAAAGAAAATAAAGTTTCTCCAAATCACATTCCATCCCTGCAGGGAAAGGTTTCCCCAAGATGTAGTTCATCTTGGAACTTTATGGAGGGCAGCTGATGCATCTTTTTTTAATTTTAAGCAAGTTTGTTTCCAGTTATTTAAATGGGATTTGTAAAGTCGTCAAGTGTGTGGATTTTTTTTTCTTCTTTCTTAGTAATATTTCCAGCCTCACCTTTTCCATAATCACGTTCCCTCTCTGAAGCCTGTTTTTGTTGTAGTGAAGCTTCTTTTCTTGCTTAAATATAGAGGAGACTTTTAAGTCCTGTGTATTTTAAGACACAGCGACCAGATATACACTTCGGGGGCTTTGGAAAACAGTTATATTTAATGTAACTTAAATTATTCTCATGGGAGCATCAATGTTTATATGCATATCATTTCTGAAACTCTTGGGAGACTTTGAAGTGTTATTTTATCAGGAATTTTAAAAGAAGCACATTGCAGCATTTTAAAACAGAATTTGTAACATTATTTCAGAAAACATTGCTATTGGAAACCTGAGTCAAAGTAAAATGTTATTTAAGAAACACATAAGTTTTGTTTTAAATATCAAAATATTTAAGCTTTGGGAAGTTTGGATAAGGCTGAATTTGCTAAAGTTTTGAAATATAGTCATCCCTTTTCTAATTAATTGGAATGAAGCCATGTCGCATAGTTTTGATGGTTGTTCTTGTTATAATCTAGACTTTTTAGGAGTACTGTTTTTTAAAGGATTGAAAAATATATCCTAATCTTCTCGCTTTAATAATAACTCACTGTTTATATATTTTATAAAATAAAAATGACCTTGAGTTCACTATATAACTTTTTTTTTTCTTTTATTTTTTGCTTTTCCTTCCCTGAGAGGTTAAATGGGGTCATTGTGGCTTAAATAACAAGATTTTGAGACAGTGATTTTAAGAATATCTTTAATGGCTGCTTTAAGAATACTATTTTAAACTATTAATCTTTGTTTAATTACATGATGTGTTTTAATAATACACGGTATTTCATTACTGTTAGGCATCTGGCAGAGAGGAGAGGCTAGAACACCAATCCTTCTGTCCACTTAGAACAGGACAGAAGCTTAAAGCACGCAGAATAGTGAGCAAGTGGGTTCCTGAGAATTTTTCCCAGCACATACACGTGCTCCTGCCTTTTCTGAGGTAAAATTAACAGTCTAGGCATAGCAAAGTGAATGCAGAAATGTTTATAATGCCATAATGTTGAGAGATTATTATGTATTATATAATAAGAAATCTTGAGAAAAATAACGATGATGTAAAATCTACCATAGACTACAGTATTCTGTATTAGATATATTATCATTATTATAGGCTATTTGCAATATATTTGGATGTCAGCTCTAGAATAAATCGTTGAAGTTCATTCATAATAAAAGTACATATAGGGCTGGGGATGTGGCTCAAGTGGTAGCGAGCTCGCCTGGTATGCACAGGGCGCTGGGTTCGATCCTCAGCACCACATTAAAAATAAAGATGTTGTGTCCGCAGAAAACTAAAAAATAAATATTAAAAAATTCTCTCTCTCTTCTCTCTCTCTCTTTCTTAAAAAAAAGTACATATAAAATATGTTTTGTGACACCTTAAATTTGTAGGTCTTTATAATTTGAAATGGCTTTTATAACATGATCTGTTTTTACCCTCAACTTATTATTCCACTAGGATCAATTTAAAAATTGAGGTTTTAAGTAGCTGTAACTTGTTCCATAACTGATAAGAATAACTTAATTTTAAACAAATACAATCACTTTCCAGATTTTTTTATGCTAAAATTTCTCTTTTATGGTTTCAAAATTCCTTATTTCCTTTTTTTTCCTTTTTCTCTCTCTCCCTTTTTTTTTTTTTTTATTTTGACATGTTTGCTTTTTGGTGGTATGGTATTAATTGATTAAAGGAAGCTTTCAGTGAGGATCATTGGAAATGAGTTAGACAAGTATTTTCTTGCCTATCATCAACTGTTTTTCGATTATAGATGCTAGCACTGACCTTCCTGACCAAACACTAACTTTGTAGGAGTTCTGTTTTCCTTTATAGTACCAGGCCAATTTATTAAGGATTTTGATGTGTAGCAACAATTTTTAGATATTGTAATGGAATTAGAAACTTAACCAGATTTTTTTTTTGCTTTTTAATTTTTTTGTTAAAATCTCATGTGGTTTCTAAAAAATACTGAATTATAGAATGAATAACACTGAATAAGTAAGTGTGGCAGTCCAAGGAAATTCTACAACTAGATTTAAGATCAACAAAATAGGAGCACAGCATAGTCAATGATTCTACATTTCAGCAAGGCAGTGAATAACTTTTTTTTCTAATTTTCTTGTGAATAACACATGCAAGTGGGAGCATAATGGTGGGTAAATTGCAACTGAGTGAAAGTAGTTTGCAAAGAACATTGCAGAGTGGATCATGGTCAATCTGGAGAAAAGTCTCAAGTAGTGTGACAGAAATTTTCTTATGTTCAACTGTCAGTAATGATTTTATGGCAGACATAAAATCCATGCTTATCATAATGTCAACTTGTCCAAATATGATGCAAGTGGCAAGCTGGTGAATAAAAGGATTAGCCATTTTAGAGGTCTTCACAGCTTGGACTGTGAACTAAGCTTACATGAATCTGATTTTATTTTTCTTAACTGGAGTTAAATAATTCTATACAACCTCTTCAGAAAATGTATGATGTCCTTTACATGTACAAGGATGAATCAAAGAGAGGATGAGAAAGGCCAGTTAGAGTTGTAGCAAGTGTAATATGAACATATAGTATGGCATAGTGACAGAAAATTTAATTCGCTTTCATACAGAGCTCATTGATGCAGACAGGTCTGGTCAATGCATTTAGGTACCTCATTGACAAATAGGAATAAATTCAGAGGAAGGCAAATAGAAGAGTCAAGGGTCTGTAAAGCTTTTCAGAGGAGGTATGTTCCAAGGAAAGCATTTTGACCTGACGAAGAAAAGATTTAGGGAGAGATAATGATAAAAGAAATCCTCAGAGTTTTAGAAGGATTGTTACATGACAGAAGGACAAAACTGTCCTTTCTGAAGCCTGAACAGGTTTCCATAGAAGAATATGACAAAGAGGAAAGTTTACGTTCAATAAAATGGAGTAAAAGGTTGCCTCTTCCCCGCCCTTCCACTCTCCTCCACTCCCCACTTTGAGCAGCATGCAACAACTGGGTTGTCTTTGGGACCCTCACCTCTGGAAATGTCCATGCTGCAATCAGATGTGCAGTTGCAGAGATGCTTTACGAAGAGATGCCTCTGCTGAGAAAAAGTTGAGATGCATTAAGTCTAAGTTCTTTTTTGTAATTACAATACTAAGTCCTAGTATTGTAATCTATTGTTTTTGGATTGTATACTTGCGTTTAAATTTCCAAATTCTTATAAATGTCAAGCTAATGTTAAATGTATTAAAATGAGTGTTTGGATGCCTTCTAAAATTTAAAATAGAAAACATGTTTGAGACAATCCTCACACATTTTTGGCAAGAATGTTTAAACATTTAGCAATGAATTTTCACTTCACCACCAATTACATGATTTTAAAACATCCTGTGTTATATAAGAACAGTTTATAAATTTCCTAGGAAATTTTCAAGGGGTTCAGTGGGATCATAAACCTAAAATCATTATGTTTTTATTTTTTCTTTTGCTACATTATAACTGTTGACTTATTTATTATATATTGACCTACTATTTTAGTAGAAATGATTCATAACAGATAAAAGGTATGGCTGATAAGAATATATTCAAAATTGACTATTATAGATATGGAAGAATTAATAAAATTTGTATACATTTTAATTTTATATTTTATTTTACATATCAGTGAATACAGATTTCTATGTTATTTCTAAGGATTTTCTATCCTAGGATTTCATGCAAAGTAATGAGCTGAATCTATCAAGAGTTGCTGGGTAGTATGAAAAATATGCATATGCTTTGCCAATTCTTCCTCAACTCACTTCAGTTACTCTAGCTGCTAAAATATGGGGAAATCATCACCTGCACTTATAATAAGTAAAGTTTTCACCTTCTGCAGATATAATCATTTAAAGCTCAAATAGATATTTCAAGTGTTCTAGTTAGATATGACCATTGTAAGAAAAAAAATAAATCTGAATTTCATAGGAGGTATTAAATAATAATAAGAATTTCTGAATTAGTAGGATTTCTTGAACTTTTGTAGTATACTGCAAAAATTATGACTCAGAAAAGTTTCCTTTTTCATAAACTTCACATCTTAAAATTTTCTCAGTCCCCATTTATCTAAAGCAGAACATTGTCACTGTTGGTTTATTTATGCATTTGCTCAATACTAATCATTCATTGACAATGACTAATGTACTAGACATTTCAACTTGGACCTCTGAGACTGAAGCAATTCTTTTGGTCCAAACAGATTTAGCAAGAATTATTAATATTTAAACTTTATTCTGGGTCTCAATTTTCTTTCATAATATGTTGTAGGATTACAGAATATGTTCACAATAACTGGTCACAATGTAAGTGGGAGGATTGATACCTAATGAGATCTAGAATAGGGAAACTAACCTCAGGTCACCTGTCCAGTAAACTTTTCAGTATGTACTCTGTTAGTAGCTGTAGACTGTATAAAAAAAACATCAGAAGGAAAGGTTCAGTGGCCACACAGATTATTTAGCTTCTAATCTAGAAAATTGGGGCTTAGGTTTTGTATAAACTCAAAACTTTAAACTGGGTAGCCTAAGCAGGCGTTTAAGCAGAATCCCAGGTGCAGTCAATGAGAAAACAAGATAGAGGTTAGAGAAAGACAAAAATGAATTTGCATGTGGTTCTCAAGACTCGTGCCAAGCTTAGTGTTCATCAAATAGACTGAAACTAAGCTAATTCTGGGCTTTACTTTTTGGAAACACTGAATTTAAAGATCAGAATTTGTGAATGAAATAGATGGGATTAGGTCTGGGTGTACTGGAATGTGGTTAATGTGTTCAGTGAGTAAAACACACACACACACATACACACACACATGTGAAGCTCTTGTGGAGCTTATATTTTGTTGTGATGGAGATGAGGTAACAGGCATATAATGAAGAAGTGATAATATGTATATTATATAGAATGTAGTGAGTGATAAATGTTCTAGACAAACAAATACAGTAGGGTAAAGAAGCCAGGAGTTCTAGGAGAGGAGAGAGACTGTTTGCTATTTTAAAAAGACTGGTAAAGTTAGGCTCAGTGAGAAGCTCACACTTAAGTTACACTTGATTATGATGTGAGAGTCATTCATACAGACATCATGTGGAAGAGTAATTTCTGTGCAGGGAAGAGATTTATAATTTACAGCACAGTGAGAAGGATTAGAGAAGTAATGGGAGCTGGATTACATAGCATGTTAAACATTGTAAATATTTTGCCTTATAGTCTTAGTGAGATGGGAAGGTATTGGAAAATTTTGAGCAGAGTTTAATAAATGCATGAAGTCACAACTGTTATGTACTTTCTCAAATAGGCCCAGATCCCTGGGACTCAAGCAACAGTCTAAGGGTAGGATTATGTTAGGCCGTCTCTTGTCTCAGATGCTCCATTCATGGAGGATATTAAAGTGGCTCCACATTTCAGAGCATTCAACTTCAGGTCTTTTCACCGTGAATCTCAAATGTATCTTTGGATGCTTTTCTTCTTTTTGTCATCTCTCAATACTATTTCATAATACAAAGTCAGTACCTCAGTAAGAGCATGAGTGCAAGCCCTTTTATTTCCCCCCAGTGTATCTGGAAACATGTCATAGTTTCTTAGAGCAGTTTTAGCTAGTGTGTACTTTAAAACAAAAAGTAAGTTACTTACAATCCCACATGGACCTACGTGTATATTGAAGTTCCCTTTTTTATTATCCATTTCAATATCAAAGCTAAAGTTTAGACACTATTGTTAAAAGTGGCACAGTGATGTATTGATCTGATGACTTCTTTTATGAAATGGACTTTGAAATGTTACCCATTTTTACAATCAGAAGCTTATTCTATGCTCCATTTCGATTTTTATAACTGCTTTAAGGATCACTCTAAGTCTTACAGTAACCTTTGGACTAAAGTAATGCAATTTTGGCATGATTTAATTCTGTCATTTAGAACAAAAGTTACATGAAGAAAATTGCTTGGCTTTTCTGTTCTTTCCTTCCCTCCTCCCTCCCTTCCTTACTGTTTCTTTAGTATCTGCTTGTGAATAAAAGAGGGCAATTAAAAGAAATGAATTTAACTATTATAAATTTTAAGAAGATTTGTACAGCAAAGCTTCACTTAAATCTTTCTTATTAAAAATTAGTGAGTCTTGCTCTCAAAAGATAGTTTTGAGACAATCCAAATTTCCATATTGAGTCAAAGCTAAAGACATTGTCAAAGATGTACCAAAAAGATTAAAAATGTTTTCTTTTCCTTAAATCATCTTTAATGTGAATTTTAATGTGGGAATCTTACATTATTTGGAAACACACCATTTAGACAAATATCTTGGAGTTTGTCTATTAGTGGGTTATTACTCCTAACCCCAGCCTTCCGTGACAAGCTTCCTCTAGTTCAATAGCAAGTTAATCTATGCAAATCCCAATAATGAAAAACTGAGGACCTGTTTAGTGTCTGGCATTTAAGAAAGGCACTTCAATAGTCCCAGGATCTCAGTGGACCACTGAGCTGTGCTCTACCTCAAGGCTGCTCATTCAATTGGTCTTTGGTGCTAGAGGTAGATTGGTATATTAATATTTAATAAAGTGAGCATTGATCAAAACCTTTACTTACATAACAAAGATTTTTAGTAGATTGATTCAATTAATTTATTTTATAGCAGGAAAATTATGATTCCTAGCAACTTGTCAAGGAAAAATAAAATTTCCAATGCTAGTTTTATATTTAGAAACTAAACAGCAATGGGGGAGGCGAAGGCAGGAGGATCACAAGTTTGAGGCCAGCCTCAGCAACTTAGTGAGACCCTAAGCAACTTATCAAGATCCTGTCTCAAAATAAAACATTAACAAGGACTGAGTATGTAGCTCAGTGGTAAAGTACCCCTGGGTTCAATCCCCAAAACCAAAAGTAAAAAATAAAAAACTAAATCATGTCCCTCCTCCTGATTTTATGAATCCTGAGCCTTCATCCTTTTTAATAAAATACACTTAAATTAATATTTTCATTTCTGAGTTATGTTAGTCTAATTTGAAATCAGAGATTCATTAAGTATTGTTAAAGAGTAAGAAATTTGAGGAACGTTCAGGGGATACCTTTATTTAAACACAAACTACTTAAAACTGTGTAGAAATATATGCACACATATGTCATTAGTTAAACCTATTCATAAAGCATTCATCAAATTTTAGTCTTGAAACTCTTAGGACTTTGATTCCTGGACTATAAGAAAGTATTGATTAGTTCTTTTTTGGCATTTGTGATGTACCTTATAGAACTTACTTAAGTGGGTCAGAAGCATAATGATATTTATTATGTAACGGTTTCTTTTAAAAATACTCGATTTGTAAATCTCAGTGAAGGAAAAGAGCAAGAATAAAACATATATACCTAAATACCAGAGTGGGGTTAATTTAAAAATTTATCATCAAGAAATTTAAAGCTTTGCTATCTTTATAAATAGATTTAGACTTCCATCTGAAGTGAACTCAGTTAAGAGAAAGTTTTGCAACCCTCTTAGATTCTTTGAGGGTGTGCATGTGTAGGTATGTAGTATGTGTGAAGAGCACATCATGTGTGTATTATTTAAGGCTTAACAATCACAGTACCTAATTAGTATGTTTAGTATCATGATCATTAGTTTTTTGTTTCCTTAAGTCATTAGATTTTTTTTGGTATCAAAAAAAATCCTAGAATAAGGGACTCTAAGAATTGAATTTCTGGAATTTCTAGTTGCCTTGGTGAATGATTACGGACCAAAGGATAAATTGTAAGTGGAATAATTCTCAGTCTAATAACTATTGTGTTAAAACTCTTAAGGTATAGCTTGTAATATAGAAGGTTCTATCCCAAAATGGAAGTGCAGATAGTAGTTTTCCAGATCAAATATGTGTTTTCAAAAGCCTATGTAGCTGTCACAATTGTCTGGCTTATTGCCTGTCATATATTTTCCAGTTACTTTCAGTCAGAAGGACAGCATGAATCTGTACAATTGTCATTTTGGGGCACTACCTTATTTATTGATTTGTTGTGAGGTGTTTGTGGAACTTAGACTATAAAACATAGCATGTAATGAGGTCTCAATAAATGTGAATTTTCAAGATGCCTAAAAAAATGAAGTTTAGAAATTATTATGGTGTTGAGAAATGTTTTGGCTCAGTGAAACACTTTTCTACAACTGTGTGGCATAACAAATTCAACTGGGATTATTTATGAAAGAATTTGGTCCTATATTTAAAAACAAAGATATAAGAATTCAGTTTTAGTTAGAATTTCTATCACAATCATAATCAGAATAAATAAATAGTATTTATTCTGAACTTCATGGCATAGCCTACAGTAATTATACTTATCACCATATACCTACTTACACTTTCAATTTCCACACTCGTTTCTCTATTAGGGAAGTAACTGAATAGTAGAAAGTATGTACATGGGAGATGGTAAGAAATGGATTCACTGCCAAGTTACTAAATAATGAAAAACAAAGGACTCAGTCAATGGAGTTTAAGTTTCCTCTTAGTGAAATAGAATTGTTAGAAAATACACGTGAAAATAATTGGCAGTTAATCAGGACATAATTAGCTCTTTCCTTTCTCCTTTATTATTCAAACATAAAGCCCAACAATTATATTTGTAGTGCATATGACTCACCTCTTTGCTTAAGAAGATCAAAATATTCTAAATTTTGAGTATTCCTTAAGAGATTATAGATGGCAAACTAACTCATTGTAGAGGGGTTGAAGAATTCTGTCAGAGTTACCCAAGTCAGTAACAGAGATAAGAAGAGACAAGTTCCTATAATTAGCTAATAGTTATGTTAGTAGCTCAGTGTGAAAAGTGATTTAAAACAGGCTACACAATGGAAATTTTAGCTATTCTTCCTGGCTATTTATACTTCAACTGAGATAATTGAAATTATGTTTTAAGACTCTCATTAATAAGCATCCATTTATTAAGCACTGATAAACTCTAGTTTTAGAACTCCTTTAATGAACATAATGAATTTTCCTTTAATATATGTAATGAGTTTAGAAAAATGTGTGGCACATAGTGTCCCATAAAGTTTAGTTAGTTATTATGAAGCATATGTCCTTATTGACACCTGCTTGGGTAGAGAAGACAATTTATCATATTTGACACACAATATTATTTTAGGATGGTCTTCAGTGATCTTCAATGGAAGCCCAATTGGATTATAGGAAAACTCTCAATATAAAGAAATTATATTGATATTCCATAACCACTAAGATGAAAAAAATGTTCTTAAAACACATTACTTAATACCAACAATTTTTAGGGTGTTAATCTGTGTATTGAATATAATGACAAATTTCAAAAAAAAAAAAAAGAAAAAGAAAAACTACCTCGGAAAATCATGCAACACCTAACATATTTAGGGAAAATTGATTTTTAAAATTAGGAATATTGAATTTTCAAGAATATTCAGATAAAACACTTTCTATAGACCCTTTACCATCAAAAACGTTGTTCAAACATACTGAATATATAATGTTCAACTGTTTAATTTTTTATTCTGATAAATTAGAAAAATATCAATGGATTTGCAATTGGAACTTTAGAATAAAAGTCTTGCCACCAGCCATCCCAAAATATATTATAAACATTGTATATGTCATTGATTCTGAAACAATTTTTGATCTAAAAAATGGCAATAGACTGTTAAATCTATCTCATGAGATTTCTGGAAGGGCTAAATGAAATATGCCATATAAAGAACATTATTAATAATAATGTTTAATAATATAATAAATGACAAGGCTGGCCTTAGGCATTACTGAATGAATTGAAGGTTTGCTGTGATTTCCTTCCCCCTAGTAGCTTTTAATATATTTAGTTATATATTTTCAAAAGCATATAGCACATGGTTTTCAAACATGATGCAAATTATTTGTTTAGTAAGCATTATACACAAAGCATTGTATATTTTGAAAGCATATATACATTACTACAGAAAAACAAAATTGGTATCTGAAAAATACATATTAATTTTCTACAAATAAAGAACAAATCTTAAATATTTAGTGAAAATATAAAAATAATAATAATAGCTCAGGAATTCTCTAACTTTTTGAGTCAGGATTCCTTTATACATTTAAAAATAATTGAAACCAACTTATATATGGCTTATATTTACTATTTTATTGTAATATAAATTGGAGTTGGAAAATTTGAAAAATATTTGTTAATAAAATAATAGTAATGTAACAATTACATGTTGACAAAAATTATATAGCTTTATGGAAAATAATTTTATATATAAAACCTAATTAAATACCTTAATTAAAGTCTAGTTTGGTAGAAGAGAACTAGGTTCTCATTTTTGTCTCTTAATTCAAATTATTATATATTTATTTGGTTTAAGTTTATAAAGAATTATACAGTAACATATCTAGGAATGATGCCAAGAAAATCTAAACCTATGTCAGTGATATTTTTGTACTGTTATATTAAAATTCACTGCTTTATCTTGCATTTGGAAAGAATTTTATTCATGTGTTCTAATATCTTTCACTGATTATTTGGAACATATTGATCCACTAAGTTATGCAGATCACCCAGAAATTAACAAGTTTTATTTTAAAACATTTTAAAATTATATTTTTATATAATCACTGATCTAATCAGCAAAGTCTTTAAATATTAGAACTTATTAATCTCACAGTGGTAGAGACAAGATTTTCCAGATTTTATTTTCATTTGCAAGTTTAAATATAATTATTGATCATTTTTTTTGTAACACAATTACTTTATTTCCATGAAAATATCTATCAATTAACTAAGAATCAAAAATTATAATTTGTCAGACACTTTTTGGAGTAAAAAATATATTTCCCCAAAAAGTATTATTCCTAATGTATTTAGGTTTTTATTTTTTATTTTTTGCAGTTCTGAGATCAAACCCAAGCCTTTAAACATGGCCCATGCATGACATCCCCACCCCTGATGTGAGCAAGTTTTAACATGAATTTATTAACTTAGTCCTTAGGGTTCAAAGTGAGCCCAAGGGCAAAGTTGGAACTGAACTACTACAAAAATGACTCTTTTTTTTTTTTTTTTTTTAATTTTGTAACACTTTTGCCTAAGGAAATAAACAAAAGGAAAGAGTATGTCATCTCTTTGTCAATCAAATATCTTTTTAAAATTTTGTTTTAGTGTTTCTCATTGACATGTAATATTTGTATTTCAGAGGTACAGGAATGAAATTCAGTTTGTAGATACAGCGTGTAAAGATCAAATCAGTATAGTTAGCATTTATAACTCATCAAATATTGTTACTTCCATGTGTAGGAACCATCAAACTCTTATCATCTAGTTATTCTGAAATGCACAATTGATTTTTGTAGGCTATAATTTCTTTTTGTGACATAGAACCTTAGAACCTTAACTGTGCTTTGGAACCCATTAGCTTCCCTCTCTCACTATTCCCTTCTGTCTATGCCTTCTACCATCCAGTGACCTCTATTATATTCTCTGCATCTATGTGACTGACTTTTTTTTTAAACTTCTGGATAGTGAATGAAAACATGCAGTATTTATCTTTCTGTGCCTGGCTTACTGTACTTAATATAACATCCTCCAGTTCCATGCATGTTGCTGCAAATGTCAGGATCATATGTTAGTTCTATATTCAATTTTTGAGGAATGGTCATACTGTTTTTCATAATGGCTCTGCTAATTTGCATTCCCACCAACAGTATATCTCAGTTCCCTTTTCTCCACATCCTCTTCACCATTCATGATTTCCTTTTGTTTTTGATAATAGCCATTCTAACTAGAGTGAAATGATGTCACATAGTGGTTTTGATTTGTTTCCCTGGTCATTAGTGATGAATTTGATATACTTGTTGGCCATTTGTATAACTTCTTTTGAGAAGTGTCTGTGTAGGTTATTTGTCCATTTTTTAATCAGATTATTCATATTTTGCTGTTGAGTTGTTTGAGTTTCTTTTATATATATATATATATATATATATATATATATATATATATATATATATATATATATTCTGAATGTTAACCCCTTTTCAAATGACTAGTTAGTCAATAGTTTCTCCTATTCTGTAGATTATCTCTTAATTCGGTCAAATGTTTCCTTTGCTGTGAAGAAACTTCCTAATTTGATATAAACCCATGTATCTTGTTTTGCTTTTGTTTCCTGTGCTTTTTGATCTAATAAAAAAAAAAATATTTCCCTAACCCAATGTGTTGAAGTATTTTCCCTGTTTTTATTTAGTAGTTTCATAGTGTCTTATCCTGATACTTTAAAGTATCTTGATTCTTGAGATATGAATTTCTTTCTGTTCCCTTTTGGGTTCTATTTGTACAGAGGATCTTTTCTCAACCTTTCATTTTTAGTCCGTGTGTATCTTTACCAGTGAAGTCTCTTGAAGTAGTGCATTGGGTCTTCTTTTTCCATCTATTCAATCAGTTTGTATCATTTAATTAGGATATTTAATCCATTTTTATTCAAAGTTATTACTGATGAGTTAGAAGTTATTCCTGCCATTTTGTTGTTTTCTGATTGTTTTGTTCATTCTTTATAGGCATAGACATCTCTTACTGTTTATGTTTGTGGTCTTGTGGTTTTTGTACAGAGTATGACTCTTTTTCATTTTATGTCTGCTTTACCAGTGACTTTTCTTTTTAATGTGTTTTCATGATGTTGGTAGTTATTTTATTTGTTTATTTTTATGTGGTGCTGAGGATCCAACCCAGTGCCTCACATGTTCGAGGCAAGTGCTTTACCACTGAACTACAACCCCAGCCCCATGATGTTGGTAGTTATCATGCTTTTACTTTTAGATATAGGATACTCAAGCATTCTTAAGATGGCTGGTTTAACAATAATGGATATTCTGGTTTTACTTTGTCTTCAGAAGTATTTTTCCTTCATCTCCGAGGGAAGGCTCTTCTGTAAATAATATTCTTGGTTGATGGTGGTGTTTTATTTCCATAGAACTTTTACAAATATATTGTTGTTTATGCTTATAACTCCCTTCAAAGTACCATTCAATTACTCCCCTTTGAGATTGATGGATTGCAATGGAAATCTTATAACCAATAACCTGGTTGGTTATTGGTTAACAGAGCTATAGTCCTAGTTTTGTGGCTTTGTATTAGAAGTACAGCTAAGTCATACTTCCTTAATTTATCAGGTTATTTGTGACTGAGCCCCACTGGAAGTTCAGCTGGGGTGGGCATTAAAGACACCCATTTTGAAATTAGATTTCTGGGGTATGAGTTCTAGATTCTCATCTTGCTGACTGAATGAATCTGAATAATTTCTTTGAACCTCATTGTTTCCAATAATAATAATAATAATAATAATAATAATAATAATAATACCTTTCTTAGAGAATAATATAGAGATTAAAGGAGTTAAGTGCCCAGTTTGTGTTCAGAGGCAAATCATCAAGGATAGACTTCATGTTCATGTTCAATGGTGTTCTCAGCATGACAAGTCAGACTTTGACTTAACCATCAAGGAATTAGCTTTGTTGTCAATTGTTTTAGAATGAGTAGAGGTTAGTCATAGTCTGGTGTATGTTGCTGCTATCCTGGTTTTGAAAATAATAGACGTCTTCTTGCCTACTACTCCTCTCAAAGCTAATATTTTCAAGTACGGAACATGTGTCCTTCATATTACCTCAACCCTTCTCCCCTCAGCTTTCCCCAACTGAGAAAATGGTACCGCCATCCACCACTGAATAAAATTAGATAC